CTCCATTTTGTCTGCGTCCTTTATTTTCCTTCATCATTATCTGTAAACCTTGTTTTTTGACCATTTCATCATAGAGGCCAATAGCAGAAACTTGCCTATTTTCAAGAAAAATGACTTTTTCAGCAGCTTTTAGATGATCACTGTTGTTAGTTTCCAGGATGCAAATTTTTCCTTTCAGAAACTTTATAATGCAGTTATCAAATAGCTGCTGGGCCTCATCGAGTTTAAACTGATCAAAGATATTATGTAGAAGATAAATCTTTGCATCAGCATACAATGCCCGTGCTAGTGCAATCTTTGTTAAATCATCATGTGTCAAATTGCTGGTACCTTTGCCTAAAATTGTCTCGTCTCCATTTACTAGTTTTGCAAATACATCTTGAAGATGGCAGGCTTCAACCACTTTATTGTACAGTTCTTCATTGAACTCTCGATCACAGATAATATTATTCCTAGCATTTTGCTTGAATATGCACGCCTGTTTGGGAATATAGACTGGAAGATGGCTCAGTTTCACTGTACCACCAGCAATTGGCAATTCACCTGCTGCAGCAAGCAGTAGAGTTGTTTTTCCCGATCCTGATGAACCACAGATGCATACCAGACCTTCAGAAACACTGAAGTCAACATCATTTAGTTTTGCGCTGGGACTATCCTCCTCATCCATTCTCTGCACTGATGGTTCTAATACCGTCACGTTATCAAATACAACACCAAGTCCACCCTGGCCAAAGCCCCCGTATATCCAGGCTTTGGATTTCGTACTTCTTGGCGTTATCTCAGACAAAAGAAAATTTTCAATTCGAAGACTTGCATAGAACATTGTAGCAGCTTTTTCAAGAGCTGGGGGAAAGTTCTGAACAAGAAAAGTTTGAAGAATATGAAAATAAATACAGCACAATGCAATTTTCTCCACAGATGTTGGGTAATCTGAGGTAACACTGGCAACAAACATGCCAAACATAATGAAAACGTGTAATAATGAAAATGACGCATTTGACAGTAAATTTACAGCTAATAGGGGAACTTGTAGATTGTTGAATTGGTTATCGTTCATTTTCTGCATGAGAGACATGTATGGTTTCTCCCACAAATTCGTCTTGATAGTACGAATGCCTGTAATAATGGCTCTCAAGAGTTTATTACGCTCATTTGATTTCATTTCAAATGCTCTTGAAACTTTGGCACATAATTTAATTAATTTTGATTGAAGCACAGTTGCTATGGCAATAAAAATAAGTCCTGGAATGAATGGGACGATGAATGACGAAGCACCATCAAATTCATTGTAGAGACCTCGAGAGACGGTAATAAGAGACAACGGTGCTAGCCATATGTAGTGTAAATTTTCAAAACCAAGTGCAAGTGCATGGGTATCTACAGACATCAACTTCTCTATATGTTTTTCATTAAATACATTGGCAGTCTTCCTCATCTGTAAGACTTTCCTGTATATCAGTGCAGTAGTGGAAAGTCGAACTTTCAGACCCACTCTTGTCATATTTTTGCTGACATGACAGTTTAAGGCACAGTTTAAGAAATAACATATGCAGAGACACACAGCACATATCCTTGCTGCTTCACTTTTGATTGGCTCCACTCTAAAGCTGTCAAAATACCCAATAAATATCTGCACAAATGTAGGGAAAAAAAATATAGTGAAAATGTGTGACATAAATGCCACTATGCCAGTCAGGAAAAATGTCCAATAATGAATTCTACGAATCATATCCACCAGACTAGGGGATCGAACTTCTCGCTTTGCAAGTACCAGTTCCTTTCTCCATTCTTGATAAAACTGCAGGTCCAGTTTCTCAGGCATTGTCATCAGGACTAGGCTGATACAGGTCTGCATGTTTCAATGGTCGTCCTCTGTGCCAGCTGAATAATTGGTGACATCCAAGTCAATAGTAGGCTGGATAAGTAACTGGCATGCCCTTCTGGATTGTGTCTCGGCCTCCTTTCCTCTTCCATCTTACTTTTATGTATAACCTAATAAATGATATACGGTACAGAGGAATAAAAAAACATCATCAAATGACACTATGTTATTATTAATTTTTAAAATAACATACATCACCTACATGTACTAAATGTCTTTTATTATTGTGTTCTCACTAGAGAAGGTTATGTCCGCGTAAGTTGTGCCCGGTAAATAAAAAAGATAATGATTTTCTTAATCTCATTTATTACAAGAGACGTAAATATGGCTGCCACTGAAAATGTACACATTGGTGCTAACTCATAGATAGGCAATGTTTTAGTTGCCAATGAATTTCTGTTTTTTGAGCACTAACACAGTTGATTATTTGGGTCGAGTTAAATTTCATAATATAAAAACATTATAAATTCAAACTTTATGGAAACAAGCAGAATATTTTGAGTGTTTAGAAATATCCTTGATAAAGGTCAATATAAACAAAAAGTATGCACAAAGACAGTACAGCGGGAGTATCGACTTTTCATCTTTTCCTGCAAAGGATACATCATAGGAATGCCGAAATACAAATAATAAAAGTTTCGAACAGATTGTGCAAACTTCTTTGTATGGGGTCCAGTCAAACCCTGGGGGCTGCCATGTTTATTTTTATTATTAGTGGACACTTATGTGTGTAATCATTCCATATTAGGAATTCGCAATTCCAAATATGGGCACACTGTAACTTATGGTAATATAGAATATTGTTATTACTATTAAATTATAATTATATTGTATATGCACTGATATATTTATACCCATGTACAATTGAATTACTAGTTGCGTACATAAGCACAGTGTAAGGATTATGTATCAAGCTGTGTATGTGGGGGGTGTAATTCTTAATTTCAACAGCTCAAACAATTAGGAGATTAATATGAATATGGAGGCTCACACAGCAATGACTGTTTACATATACTTGTTTCATGACACAAACTCTCTTTTTTTAGTAAATTCATTGTGTTTATGCTGATTGTTAACTTGCCACACTTGTATTCATACGCAGGGTGTAAACCGGCATTGTATTAGCTACATACAATGTACTTCTATTAATAAAATATTGGTCATAAAAAAATATTTGTAATCAATAAATGTGTTTATAATAAATAAATGGATATAAATTGCTGGTCTATATATAAGTATGTTCCATTTTATGAACAGCTTTTATTGAAATTTATAAAATATTAACATTTACATTTGAAGACTCTCACGTTTCATTCAAATCAAAAAATGCTTTCATTAGCAATATTAACCATTTGGTAATGCCTACTACCCATTAGTCTTTTGCAGGTTTCCTCAAAATCTTTATAAACATGCATTCAAAAGGGTAACAGTAGAAGTAGTAGTGGCCACCAGAACTGACAATTAAATGAAATTTGAACAGCAATTGAACAGAAAGCATTGATAAATCATTTCTCAGAGTTTGCTGCAGGGATTTTGATCAAACTTGGTAAGGTGTATATTGGGTTATAGGTGCATGTTTGTTTTTTAAAGTTTTTTTTATTGTTTCCATACAAGTCTTTATTTTTTGCATTCACTAGCTGATTTGATCCTCAAATACTAAATATTGAGAAATACATATATGCTCTGTAACTTGTTTTACAATTTAATTTTAAAAGCTTAACAACTGTTTCTTCCTATATGGACTTGCATGATTTCATTCAAACTCAGTGTAATGATTCTATATAATGGATTTAGGCTGCACAGATTATTTTTTATCACTTCAACCTAATAGTCTCTGCACATTATACAGTCAAACCTTATTATTTTATGGGTTACAATATTTACTGTGGTGAAAAAAAAAAATTTGAGTTGATCAAAATCAAAAAAGTTTGAATTAAGGAAATTAAAAACTGTTTAATAAATGGAATGCTGGTTATCCTGCAAACATATTCTTAGGGTGGTCACATAAAACAGGTGGTCTATAAAGACAGTTACGCCAGGACTGCCTAAAAGTGGTTACTATAGACAGGTGCTCTTTATATAGAGGTGCATAGTCACTATTAAACATAGGTTTGACTGCAGTATATACAATGGCAGCAATGACTTATCACATTACTATATAGCCAAAGGTGGTGGACTTTGACATTATATCAGTGTTATATAAAAACGGGGACTACATTGCCAATATAGTTACTAATTTGTACATGTTTTCCCCTGTATTCAAAAATACTACCGGTATATATTTTTGTGTGTTTTTCATTCGTTCGAATTTGACTATGTACATGTCTAGTAGCATAGACGATAAATAGTATCATTTAATTAAATTAAAGTCAAGTTACTTTATAGGTGATATATTACTGAAAGTTGTCAACGTGATCGGACATTTGTATCAAAAACCGATGGTCACTAACCTTGTAGCTGTCTTGAGATTGAAAGCACTTTTCAATCAACTCGCCAATTCAACGGTACTGAAACTCGTTGTTCAGAACAAATGCGTTGTCAAAGGTATACTGGGCAAACCCTAACGTGAAACGGAAGCAGACAAAATCGAACTTCTGTATAATCATCGTGCATGATGAACGGTTTGGTGCATATCTTGATAAGAGCGCCTCCACAGGTTGCATTCTGTTTACAGATTGTTGCCGTTGGCGGCGGTAATACGAAAGTGCTGTACTACTGTCAGTGCAGTGGGTCTTGAAAGTTCAATCCTTCCCTATCTGCAGAAGACGGAACAGCCGCCGGACAGGGTTTGTGGTAACGAAAATATCGTATTTTCGCTCGGTAAGTTTGCTATTCGAAAAAGGGACAGTTTGGTGTGTGTAATTGTAAAATACTGCATTGACTT